TTTTTTTTTTTTTTTTTTTTTACTAAGTAACCTGCATACCAAGATATCTCAATTTTTAATCCAGTTACAGCTTTCATGGACGCTCGAACGAACGGGCGGACAGACAGACAGTCGACCAGATTTCCACTTTTCTCATCACCCTGATCATTTATATATAAGTATATACTAGAGGACCCGTCCACGTTTTACTGTGGCTGATACATAGGTAGTACAACTAATGTCATATATATGATTTCTATTATTTATATTATAACTATTAGTTAAGGAGATTTCGCATTTTTGGTGAAGCTACTTGTGTTAGTTTACAAAAAAAATAATCAAAAAGCATTTCGTGCTTTAAGAATGCTTTGGTTTTTGGGGGAAAATTGAATTTGGGCTGTGCACCAGTGAAATCAAGCGAGTCGAGTTGACAGTCAGCCTAGTGGACTGCATATTATGAAACGGTTCTCTTGCGTGGCAATACAAAAAATTGGCTGGCAAGCTTATGGCATCAGTCTTTTGGGATGCCCGTGGTATAATATTCATCGAATGATTACTGAGCCAGTTTTAACTCATTGCACTGTGCATTTAGTTGCAGTTTTATTTCACTATTCCCAATATTTAGCAATTTTATTATTTTTTGGGAAAGATCAGTTTGAAATATATATACTTCATCGTTAAAGTTTCAAAATTGCACTGATCTGTGCAACGCTTCGAAAAGATTGCTATATATCTCAAATTATAATAGACCTTTTTATCAACACCTCAGTTATGCCGCTATATTTTCATTCTAGAAATCGCGTTTGGTTTGTTGTAATCTAACAAAGTATCCGAAAAATTAGTTTCAAAAAACATTTGCCAGTGGATCAAATTGTGAATCTAAACCATTCTCGAATCGCCTTGAATACACCAAAAAATTTCATCAAAATCGGTCCAGCCGTTTAGGAGCAGTTCATTTACAAACACACGGTCAGAAGATGTTTATATATAAAGATATAATCGTGTTACGTACAACCGTTAGGTTAACAAAACTATAATGCTCTGTAGCAGCTGGTTGCAAGAGTATAAATATATCGCGGAAATCAGTAATTTTTCAGAGGGTCACACCCTGTTCAGGGTATACAAATATTATTAAATAAAAAATTCCAAATTTTTTTTTGTAATTGATGATTTATTGATAAATTCTCAATACAAGTTTACAATAGATTTTTCAATTTTTTTTGTTGTAACCATAACTTCGAGGTTGTAGTAAATTAAAAATAAAGTTCCCAAAAGGATTAAGCATATATTCGTATAACAAAATACTATATAAAAAGTATAATCATAAGACATAAGTGTAGAAAAACTGTTTCCAAAATACATATGCACATGCATCGGTGTATGTATGTATGTATGTATGTACATAAGTATATATATTTGTCGTTGATAATTTGTTAATTTAAAACGCTGCTCTTGGAAATCTGGCGCAAATGTTTCTCATATTAAATGCTGAAATGCTCGAAAATATTGTTGAGTTAGAGAAAACATTCATACATATTTATATATGTATGTATATGCAAATATAGCTTTTTATTATACATACATATTACTGTTTTCTATACATTGCTGTTCTACGTAGCGGTTGTTTAAAGTGTAAATGACACATATACATAAATACAAGTGTACATATAAGCATTGGCTTATTATACAAAATGTTTAGTACTTTGTCTTTTTAACTTAATTTAAAAATAATTATACGAAATTGAGAATGATAATATAAATTTATTTTTATTTTTATTTGCTTCATAACGCATACTACTAAACGAACTTCTAAACAAATATCAAGTTGTATCTAGCTAGTAGTAACCGGTGCGCATTATTTTTGTGAGATTTTCTGGGATTATTTTTCTATTTTTATTTTGCTTTTTTTNTTTTTTTTTTTTTTTTTTTTTTTTTTTTTTTTTTTTTTTTTTTTGCGCCTTACATTGTCGTAGTTGCAACGGTTTTTTTAATGTATTTTTTTTAGCTTTACACACAGCATTTGCTTCTATGCAAGTGTTTCATCATAATAAATTCATAGCTCGGCGTTCTTACTGTGTATAAAGCGGTGTTATTTTTGATTTTAGGTTATGTTGTCTAACAATTTCTGTATAAGTAGACTTGCAGTTCTATAATTCTAAATTCCATTGTCCTTTAAGTAAATAATAAATATTTAAACGATTTAATGCCTATAGCAGTCCCATGGTTTTCACAATTTTTTCCGTTTAGGATTTTAAAACGATTCTAAAATATACATACATAGAGCGAATTTAGTCTAACTTAATGTTTTTTGCGTTTTCTTTTGCTTTTTTCATATACTTGTACCCAATTAAAATATTGCTATGCGTTCAAAATTCTGATTTGTTCAATGAAATTTGGCTGACGATGACAGCTAAAGGCCAATGGGCGGCATAATGCTGATGCTGAGTGAAGAGTATATAATTTAAGAATATTTTTGAATTGTATTTTTTGAGTTTGAAGCAATTTTTTGTTCTTTTATTTTTTTGCAGAAACGTATTTTTTTGAATTTTCTTTGCAGCTCTAAGCCTGCAGAAATGTAAATATTTTGAGTCATATCGACTTGTGAGCCAAATTTTTAATCTGAAAGCGCTGATAGTAGGAAACTCTATTGATTTATTTGATTTTTGAACAATTGAGCAAGTAGCCCCTCACCAAGTAAACTTTTTTCAGTTATGGTTCTTGTTATGGTAATGATTATAACTCAAACAATTTACTAGAAAACGCCTTAACTTCACTCAAATGCGGACTTCTCAACTGTCTCCTTCTCTATAAACGGTTTTTTTTTTACCAGCTGGATATAATTTATCAACAAGTAAATATTTTTCACTCAGCTTTATCGTTGTTAATAGAAACATACCTCATTAAAGTATTTATAAGACGTCATAGCATCACTCGTATAACAGTTGTTTAGCTGAATCAGCTGTTGCTGCTCACTTTTGCTATTGATTTCTTCATGATTTAAAAAAAAAGCTTCAGCTTCGCTCCACCTTTTATCAAACGTCAGCTCATAAAACTAATATCCGTAGTACACATAAATTCCTAAAAAATTTTATACCATAATATACCACAAAATATAGCATATAGAAAAAAATCGCGAGTACACATAGTTATTATGTATTATGTACCTAAATATACATATAAGTCCTAATAATATCAACGCACCTAATTAATCAACTATTTTATAGCACTTCAAGCTACATTTTGCACATTTAATGTACGTTTTGAAACAATTATATTGATTTGTAAACGTTTTACTAAATTTCGGCAACAATCTGATGATTCTAATAAGCTTATAGCTAAAAAATATATAATATAGTAT